AACGAAATGCGCTAGCGTATAGATACTCGATCATGCTGATTTCGAATATGATAGCCGTTTTTCCCCATAGGCCTTTCCTAACCGGTTTCTGGAAAACTGGTTTTCGACCGAATCCGCGAAATTCTGATTAAAATGAGACATCTCCCAGCTCTACACGATCTTTCTTTGCAAAGTTATGGAATTTACACGAAAAGCCCTAAATCTATCTCTCCTTCTTCTTTCTGTAGCTCTGAGGCGACAATAAACATTTAGGGCTTTTCGTGTAAACTCCATAACTTTGCAAAGAAGGATCGTGTAGAGCTGGCAGATGTCTCATTTTAATCAGAATTTCACGGACTACAGGTGTGACTTATTTAGAAAAATTCTTGGGGATTTTTCGAGGCTTCTGGAAACTGGTTTTCCAGAAACCGGTTAGGAGAGGCCTATGGGGAAAAACGGCTATCATATTCGGAATTAGCATGATCGATTATCTACAAGCTAGTGCATTTCGTTAGAAAAGCGATTTGACAGTTGGATATGTTACCTCGTAACTGCTTAAGTGCACAACTTCAAACTATCATTGCTCATCTTATCTCTGATCACCTTAAAGTGGATGCGTGTGATGATGTTTTGTGAGTGTGCATAAATACATAAATATTGGTTAGAACATTTATTTATTTAATAACAACTGTTCACTGTTATTTTAGTACTGCATGATGATATGACTTAATCTAATACCTGCCTAACAACATTCCCAAGTGACACCCTCCGATTCGGCTAATATTTTGCCCGTCGATAAGGCCTATCGTAATTAGATAAAGCCCAAAAGTATTTGAGCCCTTGCGGCATCTTTCTCGAGTTATGGTTGAGTAAAATTTGAGTTTTTAGTATTTTCACTATAGCACGCTGCTTCAAGGGGTTGAAGAGCTAAAGCTCATGCCAGTAAAAGACAGTCCCAATTATAGCGCGCAAGCTGCAAAAGTTGTAGATCTTACTCTTACGTCCATCGTGAGAAATAGAAGTTTCTGTTTTCCGTGGAGTTTTAAACTGCCTTGCGGTCTTGAGATGGAAATAAATCGAATCGTGTAATTCAATAGTGTAAACACTTAGGAAAAACACGTTCTAACAAAGGTAATAAGTGATTTTACTGACTCATGAATGCAAAAAAGGATTTGATAACGCCAAGGAAATGCTTTTCCTCTTCCGAACGGACGGCAGTTTAGAAAACTCGCGGAAAACAGAACATTCTATTTCTCATGATGGACACAAGACTAAGGTCTGAAACTTTTGCAGCTCACGCGCTGTAATTACGAGTATCTATTATTGCCATAAGTTTCAGCTCTTCAACCCCTTGAAACGCCGCGCTACAGTGAAAATACTAAAAACTCAAATTTTACTAAATCAACCATAACTCGAGAAAGATGCCGCAAGGGCTCAACTCCTTTTGGGCGTTATCTAAGTACGATAGGCCTTGTCGACGGGCAAGATATTAGCCGAATAGGAGGATATCACCTGGGAATAGTACTTCGCAACTGTAGTTATTGTTATTCGAGACTGTGAGTCAAAATTTCAGCTGATACATATGACCTTCCTCAAAGCTGATAATCTCGTTCGTTAGAATATGACGACGAAAAGCTTTTTAGAGCTGTAGGAAGGCAAACTGGAATAGTAGAAGAGATTAAGCATAGGCATTTTCACCAAACATCGTTTGGAAATGACCACTATTTATACGAGCCACAAACAGACGATTTGGAGATAATTCACCACAAATTGAATGGATGAAGGTTAATAAAGACATAGATAAAAGAGCAACTGCACAACGAAAGTTACTTAGTTGTTCTTGGAAACAGGCAAATATTGACGAAATGATTGATTGGATAAGAAAGAATTATATAGATCAGGAAATGAATAATATTATTGGTATTGATTTTATTCAATGGTTTTTTCATAAAGCGAAAGAGGAAAATAACCCAATTTATTTATTAAAAGCATACACAGCAGAGACAGAGTTTTATACGAAATTGAATCAGCAATTAGCAACATCACATTTCAATGAATCTGACAGTCAATTTAATCTGATCGGAAGAAATTGGATTCTTAAAATAATATTTTCTCATCCTTATTTACATCAATATATTTTCAAAGGCCAAACATACAGAGGAATGCAAATATCATCAGAAGACCTTAAACAATATAAAGTCGGTAGTCATGTTATGAATAAATCGTTTTTATCGACAACAAAAACAAGAGGTATAGCCGAACAATTTGCTTTTAAAAGTGAATCGTGGCAAAATTCTGATGAAAAAAAAATAAAGTTATCTACATTATGCACATACGAAATAAAAAAAGATCGTTCTGGTTTAGACATAGAACACATATCTGAATATCCTCACGAAAAAGAAGTTTTGATTCTTCCATATTCTGCGTTTAAAGTGATTAAAATTCAAATGACAAATGCAATAACAAACAATGGTATTGAAGTTGAAATTGAATTAACGGAATGTGATTCATTTGTAGACAGTGGAAATGAAAGTTTATGTCTATCCTATAATCGTCTGTACACTATCCATCAATCTGGAGAAGAAGAATGAGAAGCGAATTTTTTGGAAGAAAAAACAGTTTCAAATTTAGTGCATACGATTAATGTATTTGACGCTATTCTACATGATGTCATTTTATTTCTTGTTTCTTTTACTTTATGTGGTGTCGCCTTAAAATTGGATATCTTCATGACATCATAATTTCATCCTTTTCTCTTTACTGTCAATGGAATTCTCCAACAAAAAGTAATGTCTTCATTTTGCAGAGCACAGTATGGACTATCTTATTTTTTATCTGTCAATAAACATGGATTATTTCAGATATTAAGAGCCCCCCTCCCTCAGAAATGGTGATTTTCGGTCAAAAAATCGGTTTTAAGATACACACATGGAAAGATAGCCTGAAGTGTTTACTTCCAGAATCTGTATTGCTTTTGGTTACAAAAGTGGTTTTTCGGAGATTTTGAGCAAGTTTTCCAAGAGCCTCGAAAAAATGGGTCTTTAAATAATGTTTTTTTCCTGGATACTCATGCAATTAAAATTTTTTTGAAAACACAGCTTTGTAGAGCAAATGTTTCTGATCAAA